GATACTTGGACGGAATTGTTCGTATACTCCCGAAGTTTCCTCATATTGCTGGATATCCAAGTCGTTGGGGCAGTGTGTGCCATTTATATGACACGAAAAGTCCTCGTGCCAAAGCCCATCAAAGTTTCTGAGATCATTCCTGATACAATCCAGGCCATGGAGCCCGAGTGTGGCGTATCGAACAAACGTCGTGACAAGATCCAGGCCGTAGCATGCCAACCTGCATGATGTCTGATGGTCGGTGAACTCAAAATGTCTGATCAGTTCGGAAGCGTATAGATCGGCGTCGACGTAAAAACAATCTGGATATAGTAGCCTTGTCGTGGTAAGGGAAGGAAGAGAATTGCTAGGAATATCCGGTAGCCAGGAATACCCAAACTGCGCAAAAATGGCTCCATATAGAGACTTGAGGTAACTATGAATACAGTGAATCGCCTCTTGTTCTAATGGCCGCATCTTTCGGTCCATATCCGCGTATGATAGACTCGTGTGTACCCCAAGGCGACGTTGTATTTTACACAGGATTTCATACCGTAGAAATGCCCTGAAAAGTCGCTTCCTCTCTGAACATGTAAGGTCGGCGGCATCAAATCTTGAGCTGATTTCCTGATCTCGAAACAATAGTCGGCCATGAAGCGACAAGTCGGGAAGGCAGAGGAACTCTCGAGGTGGATAGATAGCGGTGGCCTTTGTAAGGTAATCCTCGATGAAGAGTAGCAAACGAGTGTATAGTCTCTCGAGTTCGTTTTTGAGTCTGTGATTCTCTTGCCTCAGGGGATTCGGCAGCTGTTGCTTTTTCCAGTTGACAAAATGATGACTGGCCAGGTAATTGCGAGACAGGTTGTGAGACGGGAACATGATGATTCCCACAGCATCTTGGATCATCTCATCATCGAGGTCAGAGCGAAGTATTTTCCGGAAGATGACTCCTTTCGATTTGATATATTGATCAAGCATGATTGGGGAAGCTCCAATAACTGGCAATATGCGTCGTTTGGAATGGATACGGACAAGTATATCCAGACGAAGCTCGGGGGGAAGCTGCACGAAAGGGTCCATATTGACAAGTCCTCTGTCGATAGACTGATTGACTCAGTGATCCTAATGACAAGATGAGAGCAAAGGTCAAACCTTGGAGTCAGATTCTCGTCAAGCTCTGGTGTAAAAGGGTAGCTGCAGGATCTGTCGTAATGGTCATATCAACGAAAAGTGGTCAGTCGATAGTTTGGATCGTCGCGTAGAGTATGAATTCGGTGGTGCAAATTGTTTAAGCGAGGTTCTCGATCATAATCTTTTTGTGACGGACCGTAGAGCGC